TTGCACAGGGCAGCCGAAAGCACAGACGGTGTCCATTCTAGTACGGTATTACGATGGCGATCTTGAGGATACTTTACTTGCAACAGGTTAGTCTAATTGTATCGCAAAGGTCTTGCTAAGTTCGTGTGCTGCAGGCGAGGATGCTATCAACTACGTGTGGAGGCCTTCGAAGAAGAACGACGAAGTGTTCGACACTGGGACAGGTTAATGTGGTTTTTCCATGTCCGGCTTCATTGGCATGGTTGCTGTCAAAGACTTCAGGCTCTGATAGCCTTAAGTGCCTTGTATGGGACAGTAACCTGTCCCAGAATCCGTCTTTCCCGACTTCCAGTTCCAGCCATACCGAGCATCTCGAAAAGTCTCTCAGCGATCTGTGCAAGGTTGAGAGGTTTTTGTGCTGGAGCTACGATTTCTGATTTGCTTTGCTTTGTTTTTCCAGGGCTTACGCACTGCAAGGTGGCAGTGCCCGTGAATTGTTCTCCATATGTGGGACTCGATCTGCCTACCGAGATGCCAGCTGTATTCCTTGATCTGGACACGAGCATGGAGACATTGTAATTGCCGACAATAGAGCTTACTGAAATCCAGCCCATCCAAGTAGCCTCCATCTTCGACCAGACCCTGCTTCCGGTAATTCTTCTTCTCGTCCTCAAGCGTTAGTTCTCCCATCTCCATCCAAGTATTCTCGCTGCATTATACACACATGAACTGCCCCTCCAGGCTTTGTGCAAGGAGCACAGTGTTCCTGCGGATACCTCCAATGCTCTACTAGGAGCAAATTCTAATTAAATTACTATGTTTTAGGCTGAGGCAGCAAAGGAGCTGTTTGATGCAATGCCGCTGGTGTCTTGGATGCTGATCTTTACGGCAGGAAGCGGATGTTCAATGCAATGCAAGAGAAATATCTGCTATGCTGGTGTTGGGAAGAAGTGCAATCGATAGGTAGAATTTTTTTTTCCTGGAATAAATTGCTTTCAGTTTTTTCACGGGCATTCTGAAAAGGCAAAGTGGCAATGCCCGATAGAGATCTGGTTTCATGGTGTGCTATGCTCGTGGCATATGCTCAGAATGGGCATCATAAGCATGCTATGAAGATCTTTGCCGAGACCAGTGACAGCTTGGAATGCAATCACAACATTATGGGTTAATCACCATTTTGTTTAGGTCCCTAAAAAGGGGAGAGTGTTGTGAATGTGATTGTAGGTATCAAAAGTTATTTGTTAGTTAATCCTTTTAAATATTCTTTATTTACTGCTAAGTTAGTATTGTTAGACCCTTTATCAGTTTCCACCGAGTTAGTTGAGAAAATTGTCATTATCTATGTACTTATGCTGAATAAATATAAAGTAAGGACTTCTATATGTTTTTTTACTGAGCATACTTGTCCTTGTAGGAGAAATTCATATGTTAACTTGCATTTGCTAGTGCTTGGAACCTCTAAAATATTGAGTTTAATCCCTCAATATTCGCTAAGTGATAGCTTATTGTGTACACTTTTGCTATTATACACTTTGTGTTAATTCTATTTAGTCCTAATTACTACTTATAGAAAGTGTTTAAATATGTTAATTTAGCAAATCTATAGAATGTAGAAATTGTTCTAAACACAATGGTGTTGATCCTGTGTCAAAATTTATAATTTAATGCCATTCCATATTTAGCAAGTTTTGAGTTAATACTCCTGGTATTAAAGGTGACTAAGGGTGAAAGCCCAAAGTGTGTGTTCCTCACGGGGGGCTTTGTTCTAAATGTATAGTAAGGATGTTAGGTAGGTCAAACATGGTTAATTAATTTGAGATATAGTCTACCTCCAACTTGCATACTTGTTTTTATTCTATGTATAGCTTTGGTCTAATCCCAAATTCCACACTATGCTAACTGGTGGAGTACACATATCCTTGCATTAGGCCATTTGTATGTTGAAATAGTGCCAGACTTCATTTGGCTTTGTTTTGTATGTTGGTTTTGGCATTAATATGTTAAATACTCTAGAATGATTCCAAGTTGCTCCATACTCCTATCCCTTTGCTTCTTGGGCTGTATGCTCAAGAATTGTTCCATGCTCTATTAGGCTCTATGCTTGGGAGTTTGGCTTTATTTTTTTATTTAGTGGCTCAAGGCTTTGAAACTTAGGTTCTACTCCACTGTCTTTGGACATGTGGCATATGGCATATAGCGTATAATATGTGGCACATAGAGGGTTTAAGTTCCATTTCGTGGTTATATTATAGTAAATTACTATGGAATAAAGGGTAAAAATCATGTGTGCTACAGTCTTGGACTACCCCCAAACAAAAGTGAATAGACATAACTTTAGTGTAATGGGTTGATATGCCAGTGGTACCTTTAAGTGTTTATTGTGGGATCGGATATGTAGAGCATTTGGACCAAGTGCAAAGGCTAAATGGCATAAATGCCATTTATAAGGCTAGCATGTCCCTAAGTTAGGAATATGGTGAGTGACACTCTTTCAAGTGGTCAAAAGTGTGATTAAGTGACTAAAGTAAAATGAAAAATTTAGTCATTTACATTGTCATACTAAGGTCATAAAAAGGTGTTTATAGAAAAAAATAATTTTTATAAAGAGTTGTATGTAAACACAATGGTGAAGTGCTAATCAATAGTTAGTATAAGAGATAGCAAGTATGGCCTTGGCAAAAAGATATAAACACAAATGGAATATATCATGAGGATAGGCTTATAAAGCTAATAGTGTGAAGACACCTCTCAAGGGAGAATACCTTGAGATCAAGTTGGCTTATTCATGAAAACCATTTGTCAAGGTATCCCAATAAAAACAAAATTAGCATAGCCTAAGATAGAAGGTATGGAATTCGAGTGTTTTGACAAAATAATGATAGAGGTATGAAAGTATTGATAATGAGTTGTTAGACTTGATAACTATAAGGAAAATGAGTAAAAATTTGGTATAACTGGTTGAATTGACAGAAGCTAACTTCTTGAGACTTTTTGTCAAGATAAAAAGTTAGATATCTCTCTTGAGGGATAAATTGCTTTTGTTATAATATAGTGAGCTAATATCGTAAAAGGAAATGCTAATTATTTAAGAAATTTATCATTGAGAAACCTAAACATCTTAAAACACCAAAAATATGGTATTTAGTATCATAAGAGCATTAAATAAAGCCCAAAGAACTAAATCCCTAAAAAATAATGGATAAAAAGTGTTATTTAATATCCAAGGTTGTGGAAAGTTATAGATTATTTACCTAAGATGGATAAGGCTAAAAGGATTTTGGCAAAGTTAGTAACGGGCACATAAGGGCCCATGAGTAATAATGTAAATATTGGTGTATAATATTGTAAGGTGACAATATTCAAATTAAGGAACCACTCTTTAGATCATTGAGTAGGTTCATCCCTAAGAATATTTACTAATGCATGGTAGAAATGCAAAGCTACCCTCTTAGCATGGAAGAGAATAAGTAAAGAGAATATATAAAAACAAGAACAAATAATAAAAAGATAAAATTGAACCATAAGAATTAAGGGACATAACCTAGGGAGTGGGGAATTAAATGAATGTTCAAGGGTTTTGCTATTTGCAATTGTGGTACAATGGAGAGTATAAAATATGAAATTGTTTGTGGTAGATTAATTGACAATTAACAAGCTTGTGAAAAGAGAGGCTTTAACAAAGTATCCCTTTAATGTTCCAAAAGGGTAAGCTGGTACTTGGAAAGTTGAGTAAATAAGGTTTATAGAAATGCATACAATTAGAGTAGTGCAACAAAAGTGTGGTCTTAAACCTTGCTATAAGGCAAGGCTATCAAAGTTGCGGAGTAGTTCCTATATGTTTAAAAATATTTAAGGACTTACATGCTAATGCATAAAATCATTTTACATGAGCTAGAGGGATAAGATTTTTAATTGAAGAGTTAACTTCAGTAGAGAAGGCTTGAAAGGCCAAACTTAGAAGAGTTCATGTATGATCATAAATTGGTCATCTAACTAATTAAGTAAGAAGATTTGGAAGTTTGAAGAAACTATGTTCCTCAATTGTGTCTCATAACACTAGTATATAAGAAAAACTAATTTGGTACACTAGCATGGAGAGTTATGTTAAATATCATGAATGATGCCTTTTATAAATGCATATACAAACCTCTAGTGCTTGAATTCAAATCCCAACTCACTAGGGCATAATGATAGTTTGGAATATAAGGACATTTAATTTTTGGTAATCATGGACATTTAGTTTTTTGGTTAGTGTGTATAGTGTGAAAACTTGGCACACCTAACTTGAACACTCTAATGCAAATAACACCAAAGACATAATGAATGAGATGGGGATATTTAATCTTTAATTGCTATATACCTTTGGCTAAAAAAGCTAGCTTAAGCACATTGTCAAATGTGGGGGATAATACCTATTGGTAGATCTGTTGAGGTTTGTATATGGGATCACTCAGCTGATTGAACTTGAGCTCGGTCAAGGCTCTCACAGCTCCAAGTCTCACGCCCCGAGGATGTGAAAGGATCCAAACCTATGGACCTCCAGCTTTGACAACCAAGTGAAGAATAGATTCTGGGGACCGGGACTCGTGCTCAGACAAGCCATCTTCCAGAACAATATCTTAAACGGATGTTGCTGGTTCTACTTATACTTTGTTTCTCAAAAGTAGCTTCTGCATCAGCTGCTTGCTCAGATTGAGATGCAGAGTCCATCCAGAGCATGGAGCAAGTGAGAGTTGAGTTTCATTCCATCCAGAAGAGAATGGTTTCTTTCTTGAGCTTGACAGCACCAACGAGCTGAGCGCCCACAAAACGAAAATCTCTTGCGCCGCTGTTTACATTATGGTATACGTTAAGAAGCAATTAGTGTACACTTTGGACGGGAACCTGGTGGCCGGATATCTGGCTAGAATAAAGAAATATATTGGCAAGGTCACAGGTTCGAATCCACAGCCAGAGACCCAATCGAATTTTTTGGTATGGAGCGTGCAGCAAATTTTTCTAGACATGCAAAACAACAGAAATCTTATAAAACCCACCTTGCATATATGTGATGAATAAGTTCGGACTTTTCAGGAGTAGGGCCTCAAAGTCCTCTTTGTTTATAAATGTAAATGCTCTTGTGCAGGAAGCTTATGAATAGTTCGTATGAAAAGCACCTCAACTCTTGTATCCATTTTCGTGGCTCGATTTTGGTAGCATCTGTAACGTTATGCGGCTGTAGAGTGGCTGTTGCCTGATGCATTCTTGAAACACTTTGCTCTCTTTAACAGAAGAAACAGTCTGTTGTAACACACAAAGCTTAGACACTTTTCACCCCAAAAGGAAAGAAATATACCTTGAGGTATAGCCTGAAGCCATGTCCCACAACTTGACGCCCAAGGAAGTTAATCACCCATGTCGGAACAAGGTCGAGCTTAAGGTCCAGGTGTATTACTGCTCTGTAAAAGAAGTAGTGACTATCTTAAGAAGAAGAAAAAAAAAAAAAAAACTAATAGCGTACCTTATGTAGCATTTCTCGTCGCTAATCTTCTGGAGGATAAATCCACCGTTGGCTTCCATGCGAATGACGCCCTCTTTTGGAGGAGGCAAATGAGAAGCATTAAAACCATGGATGGTCTCCTTGACGATAGTCTCTGCTTCCTGGGGGACCTGGCAAATCACCACCATTGGAGTGAATAAAATAACAAAAGAGGCACAGTGATTGATAGCTTAACTGTTCGCAAGCAGCCAACCACGGCATCCAATTCAGGTAGCTCCAGTTCGAAAGACGTGACCAGCATTTCTCTTGTCGCAAACGGCCATGGAACCTTGCACCTGGCAAGAGCTTGTAGAATTTAAACGCGGGACGTCTTAACAACGTCGAAGTACCTCATGTGGAAAAGGTTCTCGCAAATGCGAAGCATCCTCAGCCATTGGGACTCCAACACTTTAAACGAAGGCACAGTAAAGTGAGGCCACCTGTAAGGAAAGTTGGAACGAAAGGCTTTGCTTACAGACAGAGACACTTCATCAATCGCCTCACCATTTTTTAAAGCAAGGAACTTCCCACATCACGCACAGAGCTGTAGATAAAAATCACAGTTGATTTATAACTGTCGATAATGCAAGACGGAGTATGAAAAGAAGCTTCAATCTTACCATGAACAAGCGGAGCATTGACAATGCCTTCGACACAGTAGCTGTGAAATGGCGTACCACGACCAGGACAGTACATAATTCTCAAGTCCTGGCTTTCGTCCTCAACCTTCCAATCCGTGCCAAGCCTCAGAGACTCCAGAACTTCCAGCATCTCCTCAGTTTTCATCTTGATAGTAGCTTGGTACGAATCATCGTCCATTTTCTGCCCCCCTGTGCGTGCTAGCTAACATTAGCAGTCGGCCAGAAAAATCAAACGAAGAGCAGATAAGAACCTGTCAAATTCAGTAGTGGCGAGCTGAAAAGTTGCTTCTGGATCATCTCCTCGACATAGTCTTTGTTCCCCAGGGCCTGCTCACAACTCAGTGTCGAGTCCAGTCTCTCCATTGCAAGGAAGACCACCAGTTGTAGATCTGCTTCTTCCCTGGAACAAGAAGGCGACGAAGACGAAGAAGCAACTCACCCAGGAGAAAAGGGAAGCAGGACATGGCGAGTGACTTTCTTTTCTTCTGCCTGTTTCTCCTGTGAGGTGCATTGAATGCGCGAAGGAGCAGCAAAACGGCAAACGAGTCACTTATTACGGGTTTTACCACCTAATAAAACTCGAGAGAATCTCGCCTGTGATTGATCAAGTCGGAAGCTCATCCAGGTGAGGCTCGTACAAACCAGCGACGAGGGCGACCACAATCCACAGCATCAGCAGGCCGATGATGGCCACTCTCAGAACTCGAGTGCATGACTGGAAGGGAGTCACGTCCTCCTCGTCCTGGTCACTGAATAGATAATCTCTTTGTCCGAAAGAGATTTGCTGTTGCTGCTGACGATTGTTGCCGACGCCCTGGACCAGCTCGTGTAGACGATCCTGTCTTTCCTCGTCCAAGGCAGCGCGAGCCTCGTTGCAAAGAGAACACTTGCAGTTGCCCCCGAGGTAAATCGGAACCCAATCGAGTCCACCCAAATGCTCCGCCAGGATTCGTGCACAGTCGTCGCTTTCCACATAAATCTTGTCGCGGGTGGCAGGCTTGAGAATCTGTTGAAACTCATGCCGTTATAGACGGAAAGAAGAAAAACGGGATTAGAAACATGACCTGAACAATCGCGGTGGCGACTACTCGAACAAAAGGCGGAAGATTGACAATAAATAGTGCGGCAAGTCGGGTCGGATAGTTCTCCTGTACAAGGACGCAGCAGGACTTCGTCATCTGGAGCGGAAATCCCACAGCCGGAGCTCCGGCACAGTCGAGGACAACAGTGATTCGAGGATCCTCGCCCCTTAGCAAGTTGACGACGCCGAATTCAATCTGGGAGACTGGAAAAAAAAAACACAAGCGTTAGAAAGACCACAGACAAAAAGAACGAGAGTTTTTAGCACCGATTGCCTGCGCAAAGCGTGGCCGCTGGGACGAAACGAGCGTAGTAGAAGCGAGGCCCAGACGGATGATGAGCAAAGGCCTGTCTTGGGAGTCGTGGTGGTGCCAGTAGACGAGCTCGGACCATTCGTCGAGCTCTCGGCAGGAAAGGAATCGAAAGTTTTGCCGCCACCCGACGTTCTTCTTCACAAGCGCTACGAAACGTTTGTTGCTTTTGTTGGCTGCTTGATAGAACCTGTGTAGTTCATCGTTGCTTATCCTAGAGCAAAGATGATATAAGCGATGAAAAGAGAGAGCGACAAACAAGCATCACACCTGTCGGGTACGAATATGCCGTGTTCTTCCAGCAGTTTCCTCAAGGCCATCGCCTGGGAGTCTTCCCTGCCAATCGATCTCAGTCTAGAACGGTATAGAGATGGAAATCTTACCTGTCTTGCAGCGATCTTGGAGAAGGCGATCGAGGACTGGGAGGAGGCGAGGGCAATGGCGGCGGCGCTGGGAAAATACTCCCCTCGCCCGGCCGCCCGTGCTGATCCCATGCATTCGTGAGAGCCGTGGCGATCGACAGGAAGACCACAGGCTTGGAGAAGATCTGGAGTGAAAATCGATGAGCGAAGTATCACCGAATCGAAATATTTCCAGACCTGCGTGCCCTGGATCAGGCAGCGAAAGGGATACCATCGCTGGAGCCACGCGAATGGAGGCGCGCGGAAGAGAGGGATCGCCTGGATGATCCACCACAGGGGCGGGCATCGGTGCTGGAGACCTCGCCGCAAGGCCTCGAGCGCCCCGACCTTGAGCATGAAGACGGCAAGCTGCGCGGTGGAATCCCTGTTTACCCTGACGCGCTTGAGCGAGATCGCAGCTCGCGCCACGGCAGCTCGCGGCAGCGATGCCAGCGACAATCGCAGCTTCTTCTTGTTCGCCTGGAGCTCATCCCTGCCCGTGCGGAGCTCCACGCTCATCCTACACACGCCCTCGTCGTCGTCGTCGTCCTCCCCGCCTCCTCCCTGTGAGGACGACGCCATCCCTAAAAATTGACGAGTCTAGTTTATTATTTGCTATACACTTTCTTTGGCTTTAAGAGAGAAAGAGTTCTCTCTTGAAGCTTCTCGCGCTTGCTTCTTCCTGCGAGCTGCGAGGAGTTCGCTGCGATCCAATCAAAACGCTATCGATCCAAGAAACGATGCCAGTTGCGTCGACCAGGCTGTGAGTATGAAAGCTTTACCTTGCCAAAACGCTTACCTGAGAAAAACTGGATCTTCGTCCACTGTCACAGCTGCAAATGACGAGAATTGTCTGCTCGAAAAGATCACAAGCAAGCAGTCTAGATTCTGGCACTGGACAATGCTCAGAGAACGGCCCCCAAGTCCTCAGCTCATTCATACTCTGATAGCGAAAGGAACTTCACTCAGAAAAACTTAGCCAGTATAGAGATTAGACTCACCATTTGCCGAACAAATGGACCACAGATCAGTAACAAAACAGACCTGAAACTCAAACTCTCCGGACATTGGATGATTCTTATCAGCTCCGAAGTGAAAGTGAAGTTTCTCCTCCTGAAACATGAAAACGGAAAGATGAAGTACCTCGTAGTGTGATTCATGACCATGCTGCTGTCTGTAGTATTTGGTAAAAGCATGAACTCGCGAAACAAGTTCTTCGTCCCTGCAGAATTCGCGCAAGTAAAGTGTGGAGCTACAAAATGAGATGTTCCTCCCTTTGGGGACGTTCTTCTGCTTTCCTTATTTCGGAGAAACGTTGGGTTTAAGTGTTGTTGAGAGCCTACCACCCTTGCGAAACACTGAACGATGCGCATGCAAAAGAAGTAAGCAAACGTTTTGAATTTTAACGAGGCTATCGAAACCAGAAGGAAGAATGAGCTAGGACTGGCTCCAATCTGCAAATATTTTTTGCTATCTCGACTCTAGGCTGCCGTTGTCCCTAGGACGCGCGGATCAGACTTCTCCTGACTTGGAATGAAACATAACTCTTTCATAGCTGCTCGTTGGGCAGGAGAGCGGGCCATGACGAGGTCAACCTCACCACCAGCATCATCAATTTCAGACAGGCTCACATCCCCATAAGATGTCTTTGCCGTCACATAGCGTATGTGGATGGCTTTGCTCGACACCATGGCTAGCATCTCGTCCTTGCACTCTGCTTTGTCCCTGTCGTAGATTTCAGCAAGCACATCTTTGAGGCTTACATACCCACATTGCACTATTTTAGCGCAGATCAATTCATACTTATGCCCGGAGAAGCCCATGGCAGCCTTGGTAGCTGCCAAACCCAGTTTCACTCTACATAGACTCTGGCTCGTAAGAGCATTCGCTGCTTCCTTCCAGGTGAAGGCATTGACAAATTTGGCCCAGGCGCACCAGTTGAGAAGCATAGGAGACCCCCCACATACTGCAAAAATGCCATTCCAATCAGAGTCTCCAAACGTTGCAGGGAGTGTCCCTCGAGCAGCTGGAACAGAGTGACCAGCGAAGAACTTGCGTGCTTCTGCTTCTGGAAGGTAGCCCACCCCAAACGGCTCCCACTGTAAGGAATTGAACATATCTTGCAGCCACACCCTGAAGAAGTCATCAGAGCTGCTGAGTATGAGATGTGCTTTGTTGTTCTGCTTCTTGAAGAATCCAAAGAATGTTATAAGCTCACTCGTTTCCAAGTTCTTCAGCCTGTCAGCTTCATCAATGATGAAGACTGGGTACATCGTTTGAGCTGTGTCGATTACTGCACAGAAGGCCTCCATTACCTTGGCCAGATCGGTCGAGTTAGCCGTGTTATGAGGCGGAAGAAGCTCCGAGAAACCTTTGAGCGCTATGTCCACACCGGCAGCTTTCCTCTGCGTCACCTTTTCAGCCCATGTCCTGTACTCTTTGTGCAAATGATCCGCTGCATCCTGAGGCGTGCTCCACAACTGTACCCTCAGGTCGAAGTAAAACACTGGACAAGTAGCCGCCAACTCCTCATTCGAAAGCCAAATCTCCTCGAGCCGCTTGAGCAGCTTGGTTTTCCCACAATCGTCAGGCCCAATAACAACAGTCACACACAGAGGAGGAGCAGCCAAGCGCTCCAGCAATGCCCTCAGCTCTGCCTGCCGACCGAAGAAGCTTCCGTCGCCATCTGAAGGCACCGCCGCTTGCAGGCTCCGAATAACCTGTGTACGCGCATCCCAATCCATCAAGCCCTATGCCAACTTTGTCTAAATTAGGGTTATGAGTCTTACCATGATCACGAGTTTTTGCGGAAAGATCTTAGCTTTGGTTTTCAAATGGAAATAGAGAAAAGGTTACTCTAGCTTCTTGCTTCTTCCAGGTCCCAGGAATTCGCTGCGATCCAATCAAACGCTATGGGCCCAAGAAACGGTGCTGGGATTCCAAATGCGTCCACCAAGCTGAGAATGAAGGGTCGGATCTCGCGACACAAGCTCGCAACTTCTTTTTGTATCGACAATGCTTGATCCGGGCTCAAGTATGCATGCCTGGATGAACAACGTCGTAGCGTTGCTTTAGAGAATGCCATAAAACAGGAAGCGCTTACCTGAGAAATACTGGATCTTCGTCCACTGTCGTAGCTACAAATAATGAGCGCAACAAGCCCAGAATTGTCTGTTTGAAAGGATGGCTTGTTATTTCGCAAGGTTCTGAAAACACTGGTACCTTCTCAGGGCTTGGGGCGAGAGAGTTTTCTACGCTTAGAATGCTTTCCAAAACCGAACGCTCAGAGAAGGCACGTCCCAAGTCCTCAGCCAATTGATAACTCTGAAAGCGAAAGAAGGTTAGCTTACGAAAACGTAGCAATCGGCGCGGTTAGACTCACCGCAAGCGTTGCATTCGCCATGGTTGATCCTTTGGACACGAGTTCACGCACTTGCTGTGCAAGTTTTACTAGCAGATCTCTTTCGCGAAGCCGAAACAAAGCGAGCTGCAAAGCGCAGGTCAGTAACAAAACGACCGACATGATGGTGTACCTGAAACGTTACGTCCCTGACGTTGGCATTGGTCCCAATTGTAGGAGGTGGTCCATTCATATGTTCTAAGCCGAGGCCTTTCATAGGCTGTTGCTTCTTTTGCGACGTGAAAAAATCTCCAAGCAACGCTTTACTAACCTGAGGAACGAAAAGGAATTCGAAGGTAAACTTACGACAACAGTACCTGCTGCATCAAAACGTTGTTGTCGCCCTCAAACGTCAGTTGCACATCGTATTCTGCTTTGAGCTGCCCGACTTTGTTCTCAGATTTTAAACCTTGTCCGCCACAGGCTTCACGACATTCCTAAAGCAGGGGAATTCATTACAAGCTCATGTCGAACACATCTGGGCTTACCTGCAGTGTTTTGAGGTTGTGCCAGGAGAACATTGCCTTGTAACCACTTGAAAGTACGTGAATAATCTTCGCGTGCTCGGGTTTTCTGTTGTAATAGATGCGCTTCAAATCACAGGCAGCAAAACTCATGGCATATCTGCAAAGTATCAGTCAGTTCAAAACTTACAAAGCAAAACAATACGCATACGATTTAGCCAGTAAAGGTATCAAACGGTGCTGATGGCTGGGATAGTCCAAAAGTAACACTTCTGGTTCATTGGGAGAAAGAGCAAATGCTCGCCTCGAAAGAGCATAGCGCAAAGCCGTTGCAAGGCCAACCTTAAATCAGCTCTATGAAGAAAAAGAAGCTAAAGTATACAAGTGGCAAACCTTTGATTGATAAACAGCACTGACAGCAATGGTAACACGTCCAGACGTTAGAGGAGCCATGAAAGCACCAAACCTCTGAATAATATCACAGGAAGATAAGAAAAGTACCAGCTCAGAGAACAAAACACCTTACCTGATCTGCATCTGTTATATTACTCACGTACCGACCATCTGGTGTTACATCGGCTACGGAGTTGAGCAAGTTTTCACGAGGTACGCGTTTATTATCAAACCTGGACAAAAACAAAAAGTTTGAGTTCATCTCCTAAACTCTGCAAGTTGGAAAAACAATACCAGATGCGGCCATTGTCCACCCCGTTCAGTCCGATCTTGTGGCCACAATCGGCAATACGCACACCTGGACAAATTCGCCCATCCGGACTCCTTATTTCAGCAATAAATGCGTGCACTCCCTCGTTCTTTCCATTCATATGCAGCTGAGAGAAGACCACTGTATGAGTAGCGTGCTGGAAACAAACACAGGATTTGTCAGTTGCCGAAAATAAAAAAAACAGTGATGCTTTTTACCATTGCCGCTCCTCCTATCCAGTATTTCTGAGCAGACTCGCATGGAGTGTTGATAACAAACTCCTTTGTTGATGGATCGTACACAGTTATAGTTTCAATCCCTCGGACCTGAAAAGATCATAAACCACTCAAGCACAAAGAAAACAAAAAAGAGAAAAGAAGCTACGAACATTGCTTCCATGCCCGAGTTCAGTCATTGCAAAGCAGCCTATGACAGAGAATTCCTCCGTTGGCAGCAACCACTTATCGTGATGCCTCTTGGAACCAAGGTACTTCACTGATCCCCCCCTATATACAAATGTCAAGCTCACATGAAACTAAAAAGAAATGCTGAGAGCATACCACAAGTGGAAGTGAACACCGAGCTTAATTGCCAGTGAATGATCAAACAGGCCGATGTACTCGAACATAGCAGCCATACGGAGCGCGGACTGTGGCCGATCGTCTGTAAGCCATCCACGAAACACACCCCTGTCAAGAAAATACTGAATTCTCTTCATGGTCAGCTCCCTCTGGACTTCCATCGGTTGATTGTAATCAGCTCCCAAGAAAACCCGTCGACCCACTCTCCTGGAGACGAACAAATCGCTCTCAGACATGAGATTGAAGATAAAAGTGCGGGTTTGAGCATCGTGTCCGTCCAGCAATCCCTGCATCAACTCTATATCGAATGCGGGCTCTCCTGGAAGATCAAAAACATGAAAAGGAAATTCAAGAACCCAAAGGAGAAAAAAGTACCTGAATTGAGCTCCGGAGGGGAGTACTCCAGGCACGGCTGGCGCACCACCAACGAAGACCCTTTGTCGATCTCTTTGAGATGGCCTGTGAGAACCAGAGCTCTTCGAGTTGCCGCAGAGCTGACTTGTCCGGCCTCCATCTTTTCGAGTCGGTGATCTGTTTCTTTGCCCTCGCGCTTAAAACGTAACAAAGAGTCGGGTCAGAGCCGTTACCTTGCCCAACCGGATGAAGGCGCTGCTCCAAGATTAGCAACCCTTTACATTTGTGGATAGATACGGCGTCAAATCTGGAAAGTCGCGCAAGCACAGTAGTTTTTTGAAGGAACGTCGAGTTTTACAAGGTGACTCGTGAAGATGATGCTGTTCCGTAATAGGTGGAAAGCAGGGACTCGGAGAAATCTCCAAACGAAACTGTTTTCCTGTCTCGCGAAACAAGTTCTTCGTCCCTGCGCGAACCAAGTTACGTGCCGATTTACGAAAGTGAGAGAGTTACCAGTGAGGTTGCATAAACACTGCAAACGTGTTCCTTTCCACAAGGGGATCGTCTTGAGCCGTCTGTGTAGACATTGTTACGAAAGAGGACACAAAAGAAGTAAAAGACACGTACTCGAACACAATGTGGTGTCGCGTGAAATGCACCATTCGACATTAGCTCCGTCGCTTCTCCTACCTGGTAAGCAATGTCATCCTTTCCGAAAGTTGCCTACACGAAGACACTTTCAACACTTTGATCCGTATGGACAAGCACTTCGTTTACCTTGACAATTGCACCAGACCGAGTCCTAACATAAAGCCCTGCTTCAGAATCAGGACAGTCTATTTCCCTTCCTTCTCTTGTGTACATTGCACAGGTCAATCCTTTAACGCACCAAAAGAAAAAATGTTAAGTTCGACAAAAGCGCACCGCGTAACTTGAAAACGTGCCTGTAAGAGATCCGTGATCGACGTGCCAGCCACACCACGACGATGACTTTGTGCCTGAGCATTTGCTGCAAGAAGCTTTTAGAAATTTACAGCAGGAGGAGCAACGAAACCTTGGGTAATAATGGAGCAGACGGCCTTTGTGGCACAAAGAGTTCTTGAGCATGTCCGTGAGCCTTGCATCACCGCCCTTGCGAGACACTGAAGGGACAGGAAATTAGAGAAGACGAACAGGAAAAGGATCTCCACCATGTTTGTCGCAGTGAGCTGCGAGCTGCAGGCCAACCTTCACAATCAGACTTCCGAGTTTCTTAAAACCTGCAAAGTGATAGAAGAAAACATCATCCACGTAAAGAGAAAACAGAGATGTACTTGATTCAAGGTCAGGTAACTCCTTTCCGGGCCATAAGTTCGCTCGACAATAAGATGGATACCTGCGTACATTGAGACCGGTTAAAATTTGTGAGAAGGAAGTAAACAAACCTTTCTATGAGAGCTGGGTCATCGGTCGGTCTGTCCACGATTGGATTCGCATAAAACGAAGCTTTAAGCTCATCTAAACCAGAAGGAACATATGAACTCGAAAGAAGGACAACAAAACCGTTACGAACGAATACGTACCAGGTTGGCCGGATTCTAGGAACTCTTTTCCGTGGCTCCAACCAAAAGAAAATCTGCGAGACGCTTATACGGAAGTTCTAGCTAGAAACTTTTGAGTTACCTGCTTGCTGGATCTTCTAGCTCCTTGAGAACATTTTCGGGAAGAGAAGAAAGGCTGCACAGAAAAATCGAAAACATTGAGTAAGAAGAGACTATACTCGATACCTCTGCGCAAGATTTAACAGATTACTCCGCATTTCAGTGAATCCCGGAACCTGAAAAAAAACACAAAAAGAATGCTCGTGGAAGTAAAATTCCATTCAAAGCTTACGTTCGAAACGGCAATAATTCCCAGTCCTTGAGCTCCAAATCCCGCCTCGAGCTCCTCAGAAAAATTCACAGCTTCATTCTACAGCAAGAATCGATCGCTCATTCGATCCGAGGCAGGAAATCTCACCTGGAGCTCCGAGAAGTCGATCGTCACTACATTATGGCGCATGCTGTTGCCGATCTTCCGCACGAGACGCCCCGGCTGTGGAGCGCAGAGAAATGAACGGTGATGACCTATTGGCGCGGCAACGGCCATTGCTCTTCTTCCATTAGCTCTCCTCTAAACCCTGCTCTTGCGAATATGCTTCTTGTACGGTCATTTGATAGTATATTCTAGAATCACTTTTATTCTTTTGTACGACCCGCATGTTTTGTGGTATATTCTAGCATCTCTTATAAGATTCAAAGCAATCCCTTGATGATTCTGAAGTTTCTTTTTTAAATTTGCTATTTTTGTACTATTAACGTTTTGTTTTTCTACTGATCAATAATTGGTTGACGATTGCAATATAAATTAGTAATTTATCATTATAACAAGAAATAGTTTTTCTTTTTGATTGTTTCTAGCAAAAAATCATTCTAAATGTATCTTCTCATTGAATGTTTTTCAGCACTCCTTTTTTATATTAGTGTTGTTCAAGCCATGCATTGGGAATTCTCTGACGAGCGCAATGCTATAACAACAGCCGATGCCAATATTATTCTAGATACGGTTATTGCACTTGCGGACATTTTCGATGACAATACTTACTATGAGAGTGGCGCAGTTTATATCAATCAAGTCACTGTGACAAACAACGTAGTGATCGACATTGCCATCGTAGCTTTTCATACAGGCCCCAATCTGGATTTCTGCCATGTCAATCCAGGTAACACCATCAGCGTGAGAGGCCTTGTTATCAAAGCGATCATCCGAACCTTAGTAATGTATACAAGAGGTCAAATGCAAGTTTTTCTAGCCAGCAGCATGCTTGCAGTCTCCGAGATGTTTGGAGTCCAGTATCGCATAGCACCAGCAGATCAACAGATGGAAACCCTTCACAACCATACTAAGATTTTACTTGGCAGCGACCGAGGTGATTGCCAAGCGAAATTGACAACGCTGGACAACTTCTTCTACAATGGTCTTCGTCGAAACTTTGAGCTCCAGTCCCCGAATTTGATCTACACATTCAAGCTCCAGGATGATTGTAGCTTGTCTTTGAATGAAGCCAGCCGAGGGCAAGTTTGGACAAATGGAGTGTGTGGGAGAGGAGGAGTAGATTGCTATCTCACAGTCCAACTTAATGGGAACATGGTTATCAAAGAAACCTTAAGCCAGGTTGTTATATGGTCGCTAGATAAGTCTTGTGATGAGCCATGCTATGCATTTGTGACTATACAAAGAGATAGAAATGTGGTGCTGTATCATGTTTTTAAGTCCAGCCCAGGTAAACTGTATGCTGCTTGGGCCACAAGTACAGTAAAAAACTTTTAAAATAAAATACAAAGTGTTTTTAAGAAAAAGATGTCATTGTCCAAAAGAAAAGTACTAGTATAAAAGAATGATCCAACTTCAATGAAGGAAATTTTACTTATAATAGAATCTTCACAAGTGAGTTAGCAATGTTGGTAGCTTTTGTGAAGGTGTTTGCCCACCTTATAGAGAAACAACTTGGCAGCATGAGAAGGTCAAGCAGACCTTCACAAGCATTACTCCTGCATCAACCAACTGCTAACCCTCCATGTCGGGAACCAAGTGCTTCTCCTGTGTTTTGTTGATTTAACCAAAGCTTTCAATTGTGTCCTATGGCATCTTTTGATTTGGTGTCTGCTGGAACTCCAAATCCCCATCTACCCCCTTAGTAGCTGCAATCATTGAATTATACAAGACTTTGAGTTTGAAAATAGTAGATAGCCAGCCAATTGTGTCTTGTTCAGGGGTTCTATAAGGGTGCTCTAGGCCCCTCTGGCTGATGTTGTTTGAGATCTATATGGAACTATGCTGCAAAGAAAGCATTTTTCTCTATGTACTACTATATGCTGATGATGATCTATTGCCGACTTCAGACACAACTCAAATGCATGTCAACTTAGATGTGCCAAGTGAATTCTATAGGTATGGAAATTGCCAAAACCCTTGCAAATATGGTATCCTTCTACTAGGAGATCAGCTCTAGGTGACCAAATTGCAATCCTTTGCTATGCTTACTTGTTGTTGTGAATGTGATTGTGGGTATCTAATGTTATTTGTCGGCTACTCTTTTCAAATATTCTTTCCTTACTACCATGATGGTAGAAGATTAGTATTGTTGATTTCCTTTTTTGTTCAAGTGTTAGTAAACTGATTTAGCATTTGTACTTAGGCAGATGAATATATATGTTTATTGTTAAGCATACTTGGCCTGGTTTTTAATTCTCTTTTGCTCTGTTTTGCATTAACTTAACAAAAACCCTTGTATATTGAAAGTAATCCTTCAATATCTCTAAATGATAAATTATTGTATTTATTTAGCACCCTTGCTATCATACCCTATGTGTTGGTCCTATTTGGTCGTAATTACTATTTATGGAAAGTGTCTAGATTTGTTAATTTTACATATTTACAGAATATAAAGATTGTCCCTGTGTCCAAATTTGCAATTTAGCACCATTCCATATTTATTAAGTTTCGGTCTTAGTCTTGGTCTCGATCTTAGTCTCAATCTTAGTCTTAGTCTTTTTCTCAGCCACTATCTTGGACTCCAACTTAGGTCCATCTTGGACTTGACCTCGGACTCCATCTCAGATTTCATTTCGAACTCCATCTTGGACTCCATCTCGGACTCCATTTTGGACTCTATCTCGGGTCCATCTCGGATCCATCTCGGGTCTATATTGAACTCCATCTTGGACTCCATCTCGGGTTTATAACAGACTTTATCTCAAATCCATATCAGACTTCTTCTCAGACTCTATCTCGGACTCTTTTTTGAACTCTATCTCAAACTCTTTTTCGGATTCCTTCTCGGATTTATTCATAAAATTTTCATATGTCACAACACTTACCATGTGTCAATCCACTTGTGTCAGTGTTTAGAGACTCATTCATCAATTGTTTTGTGCTCATTCTTTGAGAACTTTGTTTGGAACTTCACTCCTGCTCTCGACTTTCCAAGTCAGAGCTTTTGATCCAAACATATTACACTTGTTGCTTCCACTTCAACCACTACCATGTGGTACCCTTTCAGCTCCATTTTGGGGCTTAAGGATTTGTGTTTTACAGTACCATGAGTAAAAGTAAACCTCCTCTGAGTTTACTATAAGTGGCAAATAAGTTGGTCTGTAGCTGTTTAATATAGCACTAGTGAAACCTTCTTAAGCACGATTAAAAGTGGATCAATCAAGACTATAGACATTAGTCTATTGGTTCAAGTAGTCATTGTCGTAAACTTTTCTTAAATTAGACTAAAGGTAATGCAAATGCAAATTTAAGGTTTAGTCAAGATAAGACTAAAAGGAGAGGCATTACGGATGAAAGATCAAATATGTAAATAATTTTCTCTTCTTGAAAAGATGATTTACAACAAGGTGTTAACTCTTTGCTCATATTCACATTATGCAACTGAGAGTCTTTATCTTGATGCATGTTGGTTATAGTGGTCTTACAAGTGGTGAGTTATGGGATAGATAATAGTGAAACGCTAAACCATTTTGTCTAAGCTTGCTATTGAAAACTTGAGTTATAATACTCAATTTTTTTTGGGGAACCTTACTATTATTCTTTGAATAACTTGGTGTTGGATCAGTTTTGAGTTTTGTCAGAAAGAGAGTGGTATGAGCTTGTATATGTTGTGAACAAAATTGATGGCATTTGGTGTTGTAAATCTTTATCAGTGGGATATGACATTTCTATTGCATTTTATTGAATAGAGTTGGCATTTGATACTTATGTAAACTTTTAAAGTAATAATGTGGGCTTGCTTATGGTATTGCTTAATTAATGATCAAGTCATTGTGATTTTTATATCATATCTATGTGATAGTAAATAATGTGCTTACGAAGTTACTTGGTTAGACTATAATCAACCCTAAAGTGATTAATGGAGAAGTTATTTTACTTGTAAGTAGTAACATTGAAGTAGCTCTAACTTGGTTCTTAATGGTGGTCCATTATGCTAAGCTTAAGTTGATATCTTGTTTCTTTGAGGGTTTGCCCATAATGTGATGGAAAAAGTTGTAATATTCATTTGTTATGGCTTGTTAGTTTATTCGTTAACACTTGGAATAGATTGTTGGATAGAGAAGGTGTAAAGTTAAGACATTGACATTGCTAGCATTTGTGTTAATGGAAGTGGCATTGTTATTTTGACTAATAAGGAATTTTCTTTAGACTTTAATTTTTTATGTCATTTTTCTTGTTAGTATTTTGGTTTTATTGGATCTTAAAGATAATTTGAGAAGAGTGTTAGTGCAATATAAATATCCAAAAATATAGTATTTACGATAGAGTCTTGGATGTTCATTTTGCATTTTGTGGATGGTGTTAAATTTGGAAATATGGGCATGATGTTCAATACTTAAGTATACTGTTGGGTCATAAGAATTTATATTGAGGTGAAGTTATGTAAAGTTGTGTGAAGTTGTTTGTAGGAAAAAGTTGGTTGAGTCTTGAAATTTTGTATTTCTGAATCGAGAGTCATTCTTTCTCTAGGATAGAAAATTTTCCATAAAATTTCTTAGACTTTTTCAATAGTTGATCTGTTGATCTATTAATCATTTTACTCAAAAACCATTCTATTTTCATAAGTCAGTATAAACTAATGAAAGAAATAAAGTTTATTTTGGTAGGATTAAACTTTAGTAGGTAGTTTGTATGATGCAGTTCGAAAGGGATACTGATTTTTAGGGTTAAAGCAATTAAATTGGATAGAGTGTATAAAAAAGTGACTATTACACTTTTTTAGGAAGGTGACCCTTATGTCTTTCTTCTATAACATTATGCTTGGTGGTAGGTGCACTTTGCATTTTATTAGACTTTGTGAAAGTAGTGAGTTCTCATTGATCTTGACTTGGTCTTGGTAGCTTTACGCCTTAGCTGAAGATGGTGATATTTAACTTAATTGTTTAAGATTGACATGTTAGTACCTGTATTATAATTTTATCTATAAGGAGGTTGTGTATCATATAGTTAATCATACATAGCTAGTTTTTTCAAGGCATGCTCAGAAATATTGACTAAATGTATTGATGAACTTATTGTTGTATGATTAGATTTGAATAGTTATTTAGTTTATGCTTGTCCATATTCCTA